CCAACACAAGCTTCCAAATTTTCTGCCCTTTGCTGAACCACTCCAGGAAACTAATAGAGTCCATGTCTACCATGTCCTCTGAGTAAAATTCTCCCCGTATGGTCCTTTAAGAGAAAGAAATCCAAATGAAATTCAAAAATCAGATTATTATCCTTGGTAAATTTACTTACAGAGAGCAAATTTTGGTAAGTGAGGGAACATGAAAAATATTCTTCAAGATAAACTGATTATCATTGCAAACTAACGAAGTCGACCCTATATTATTTATAGTCAAACCTGTGCCATTACCAATCTTGACTTGATTGGAACCTTGGTATTCGGATCAAACTTGTAAGTTGTCAACATCCGGTGTCATATGATGGGTGGCGCGAGTGTCTAGATACCAAATTAAATCAAATCTAGATCCAACCGTAGATCCATTGTGAGGTACACCACTGTGGAAGATTGTAGGATCTGCTGGATGCGAACTGCTTTCTCCTTGATATGATAGATCAAACCGTTTGTAACACTTCTGTGCACCATGGCCTGGTTTGTTACACAGTTGACAGACAATGGTATTTCCTTTGTCGCGAACTTGCCCATGGCCTAAGGGCTGACCTCCACGCCCCCTGCCTCTACCACGATTGTTGTCACCCTTGTTTTGATTATATGAGTTCTAAGGAGTCTGAAAATTGTTAGTAGCATTTTTATTATTCATGGCAACATTTTCATTAGGATTTTCACTAGAAAAATTATGTTGCAAAAGCTAGGATTCATGGCTCAAAAGTAATCCAAGGACATCACTAATATTGAGTTTAACTACATTAGCTCAATTTGTGATGGCTGTAATAAGAGATTCATACTCACTTCCCAAACCAAATAAGACGTATAGAACCAAATCTTCTTTTGCTACTGGTTCTGAAACTGCAAAATGATTATGTGCAATGATTTTGGCCTTCTGGACATAATCACTGATGGAGAGATTTCTTTTCTTCAGATTTTGAAGTTGGCGCCTCAATTGTAGCACCCTGGATCAAGAATGAGAGGAGAACGATCTTTTTAGAGCACTCCAAACTTCAGTAGTAATGAAAAGACCAACAACGTGCACCAAGACTCCTTCAATTAGAGAGGCAACGAGCCAGCTAAGGACAAGCTGATCTAACTGCACCCAGGTAGAGAAGTCTGGATTTAGAATTTGCCTACTGTTGTCATTGGGATCTGATATTTCTTCTGGGGGAGGCTTGGCCAATCCATCAATCAGTCCCATGAGTTCGTGAGCTCGAAGTATTAGAAGCAACTGAGCTTTCCAGAGAAGAAATTATCCCCATTAAGTTTGATGGTAAGATAATGAGAGATGTTGGGAATCGAACTGATGCTCATGGGTACAGAAGCAGTTTGGGAGAGGGTTGAGCTCGAGCACATTGCTTCAGAAGCAAGAGAGGTATTGTAGGCCATAGGCTCTGATACCAATTAAGTTAAAGTAAAGAGAAGAATGGTCTTCAAAGAATGGGTTAAATTTCACTATATTGAATAACTGTACATAGCTGAATATATATACAAAATAATAAAGAATAAATTAGAAACAATTACTAGAAACAGAGAAAATAAGGAAATGAGCTCCAATAGGAAACTTGCTAAGATGAGAGTTTCCTTTTTGCATTGATTGATCTCTCTTTGGTAAGAGTTCTTTGTATAGTAGCTGGTTCTTCTTTGGCAGGAAGACAGAGCCTTCTTTGGTAGGAGATCTAGGGCTCTCTTTGGTAAGAGTTCTAGAGCTATTTTTAGTAGGAAGGCTAGAGCTCTATTTGGTAAGAGGGAAAGTAGACCTAGGGTTGGTCAACTCCTCAATAGGAACAATTGCACATACAGGATTCTACGCCATTGTCCCAGTGCCCTGTCTGAATTCAGATTTGGTCCTCACAAAATCATTGCCATATCCTTCTCCAACCATGTATTGGGAACATCTCTGTTACTTATATGTTTTAATCATGGAGAGATATTCCCAATGCACGATTGCAAGTGAGTGTGAGGACGGCTTTGTGAAGAACAAATTTGATTTCCTATCTATTACTTGTAGGGATTTTCATGGGTCTATACGGGAATCAGCTTTCTCCATTAGTTGTACTCTCCCATCCTATCCAAAAAAACATCAAAATTTTAGTACAGATTTTTTCCCTTTTTTTCATGCCCTAAGGCACTCGGGATTTCCTACTCACTCTTTCTACCCACTATCTACCCACTGTGAATTGGAGCCACACATCTCTATTATGAATTGAGGGATGTGTGGCTGCAATTCATGGTGGGTAGAGAGTGGGTAAGAAAAGAGAGTAGGAAATCTGGGCTATACATTAGAAAATTAAAGGGAATGCAAAAAAGGCACTCCTATAGAATTTGTGAGTGTGATGTAGTCCAACACCTTCGATCGAATGGTGATAGAATTCAAGTTTTAAAAACCAACCCAGAAACGAAACCATTTTGGCCACCAATTTTCAAATCAGTGGTTCAACCATCCGGGTCAAACGGTTTAAATATTCTAATTGGTGATATGTCATCTTACCCATTAGATTGGAATATTTGGGTAAGATGCATATAAATACAAGAGAAAAAAGGTTTGACTATTTGAGAATGAGAGAGATATGAGAAGCTGTTGATGGCTGTGAGAGTTTAGAAGAGAGAGAAAAGAGAGAGAGAGAGAGAGAGAGAAGAACAAGAAGAACAAGAACAAGAAAAAGAAGAAGAAGGAAGAGGGGGAGGAGGAGGTCACTTGCAGGCTCAACGGGGGCAACGACGACGACTTACAACGGCAATAGTGATGGCAACGATGACGAAAGTAGATATGAGATTTCTCTCAGTCTCAAATCTCTCTCTCTCTCTCTCTCTCTCTCAGATATGACATAAAGACTCTATCCTGCTCTCCCAGATCTCTAAGATCTCTCTCACTGTCTCAGACATCCCTCAACTGATCTCTCTCTCTCTCCCCAGTATATCTCAAATCTAAGAGATCTTCTTTTCTTTTCATTCTTGCCCTAACTTAATAAACCACAAACTGCTCTCCGGGTCGAACGGTCAAACCATCTGGGTCAATGGTTTGTTGACTAATTCAACAGTTTTGATCAAAGACTGGGTTTAGGGTAAAATGGAACTGATTGCCTGAATGGTTTCCAATCTGAATGATCCAATCGTCTGGGTCAATGACGGTTCAAAAACATTGATAGAATTGATTTCGCCTTGGTATCATGCTGCTTGATTACCTTTCTAGTGAGTGTTTTGAGTGTTTTGATATATGATTGTAGCGCTCATTTCTTCCTTGATCTTTATGCAATCGCCCTTAATGATATGGCATTTCCATGCATCCTTACAGGTTTCATTCAGCATATATCTCTATCTTTATCTTGGAATCTCATTCAATTATGATGTTTGAAGCACCTAGATCTAGCTTCTAATCAGGCCCTCATTATTCATTACCGCTACTAATATTAATATCGAGTTTTTTACCTATTGGACTTGCCACCCATTTGATCGTTTCTCTTTCAAAATTCTTGCAATACATCCACACCCCAACTTTTCTAGAGGCATCAAAATTGATTTTGATTTCCATTTGACACGGGGTCTATTTTGAAGTCGGATTCAATCAGTGCAAGGCCCATTTGAACAGCCTTTATAGCCTTGCATTGAGAATATCTCCCCATGAAATAAAGTACAGAAGTATGGAGGCGTTCTCAATGCAAGGATGTAAAGGCTATTTGAAGGTGTTCGAACCGGTCTTGCACTGACTAAAGCCGATCTCATCCATTTCACCTATGACTTGCTTTCAGTCTTTGTGTTAAGGCTGCAACTTGGGTCGAGTTGGGTTAGGTTAGGTCGGGTTGATGCTCAAGTTAGGGTTAGGGTTGAAATTTATGAAGCTGACTTTAGTTCGGGTTGGGTTAGGATTGACCCCTCAGGCAACCCGACCCAACCCGAACCCTACTTTATGGTACATATCATGTATAAATATATGTTATATATATATATATGATATATCATAAATTGATTTGTTTAGATGCATGATAGTTGTATAGCTCCCACCACATACTAAAACCTTAATAACATATTTTATGTTTTTTTGAATATTTTATTCTCTATCTCCTCTCTGTTGTTTGCCACCCATAGCTTGTTGCCCATAAAAGATCTATTATAAGTTATATAACTCATAATAAAATATAATCATCTCAAATACTTTTTTTTTGAATTTTGTACTTAAAGAACCAATAAAAACATTAACAAACAAATACTAATAAAATATAAGATTAATATATATATAATGTAAGTTGAGTTAAAATCTGATTTTAAGAAGTTGTATGAGATTTTAAGGGAAGGAAAGAAGGTTGGGTTGAACCCGAGCCCAACCCATGAATTGGATTGAATTAGGATTAGGGTTGGGGGTTTAGAACTTAGGGTTAGGCCTCAACCTGGCCCTACTTGAAGCCCTACTTTTGTGTGCTCTATTCCTTTCTTATTTTCATCAGTTTGCCGTTAGACATCTAACATTATTCGTCTGAAAGATACTGATCCAAGTCAGTTAGACTTCCCACGTGTAAAACTAAAAATATTTGTTTTTTCCTACAAAACATTATTTTTTATAGAAATGAGAAGGAGCTATCCCCACAAATCACTATAACAGATAAAAGATAGAAAGCTAAGTGCCAAGAAAGATTACAAGAAACAAAACCTTAAAAACATATAGTTTAAATGCTTTATGCTCCACTGGCTGACAAGCGCTAGGATTTTGGTACCACAGAGCAGCAACTCCGATATTGCAAAGCTGCAATGCAACGTCTCGTTGCTTTTTCTTCATTCATTTTCTTTTTCTATGCTTCCCATCGCAGGTCAACTTAAACGGTCATATGATATATGGGACCCACCCACCATATCAATATGGAGAACAAGAACAACACTGGAGTCGTATGAAGGTTGTTTACTACTACTACTACTAATGACCAGCCATGCTCATCTCTTTCGTTGAGAAAAAAAGGGGTAACTTCCAAGTTCTAACGGTCAAAACAATCCGTTAAAATTTTTAAATGTCGGCCAACTAACGGTCATATTATTTGAAAAAACTAGCCGTTCTCCATCCCCGTTTTTACATCGTCATCCCGAGATATCCTCGATCCTTCTTTACTTCTTCCGCCGCAGAAATCTTTCTTTTCCATCTTCGTAGTTTAACGCCAGCATTTTTTCCCTTTCTTTCTCTCACTTCGACTCCGCCCTCTTTCTCTCTCTTTCCATCTCCAGCGTTACAGGTCGTGAAACCATGGTGATATCTTCAAACAGGTCTCCTTCTCCCATTTCAAATAGAACTAACACTAACTCAAGGACCCAGGAAAGCAGTTGTGGAGTCAGGAGGAGTTTCGGTGGAAATTCTTTCGCAAGACCCTCAATCGTTCCTCATCAGAGAAGCTTCAATCCGGCCACTCCGGCTAACAGCCCTGCAGCTACAGGTAGCTCCGCAGTCCCTCACCCAGGATCAGAATCTTGTCTTGAATCATGGATATTGATTTTTTTTACTAATTCATCTTTGATAAATGTAACTCAGATTTCACGAGAAGGAATTCGGGTTGCAGGGAAGGACTAACGTCTCCCCGAGTTTCCTACGAGCAAAAAGAGAATGAAGAAGATCATAACTTTAAGCTGGTGAAGGCAAGGTCGCCATCGGTTTCAAAGGGATCAAAGAATTTCATGGCTCCGACCATTTCTGCATCTTTTAAGGTGAACCCATCGCCGAGAAAGAAAGTGTTGACTGAGAGAAACGAAGCTGTTAGAACTTCCACCTTGTTCTCTGATGGAAAATCCCCTCTTACTTGCATGGATCTATCGGAATCTACGGAAGAGACTGGTACGAAGTCGGAAGCAATTTTTCATTCTCAGGTACGTTTAGAAAGCAAAAGCAAATCAGAGACGTTATGTGAACCAGTCATTGCAGATTCTGATTGCAACCTCATCCTAACTCCTTTGGTTTCTGAACCTCTCAAAAGCACTGCTAAACCACAAGCCAATAGTTCATCGATTCCAGGAAATCCACCTCCTACCTCAACAATTAGGTCTCTAGACTTTGCAGCAGGGGAAGAGATCGGTGTAGAACCAGATGACCTTCTCGATTCCCAGGAACCCTTAGAAACCCAGAAATTTGCTGCAAAGCCTTGTTTGTCCTCCCCTGATTTAGCTCCTCTTGATGTTGATCCGTCTCTTCCTCCTTACGATCCCAAAACCAACTATCTTTCCCCAAGACCTCAATTTCTTCATTATAGACCTAATCCTCGGATTGAGGTTTACCTGAAAAAAGAAAGAGAGATGGAACAGAGTGAAGGTAAGCGACTCGAAGACGAGTTCACCTCTGAAAGCTGCTCAGATACTGAAAATGCTGAAGAATCCCAATCCATAGATTCGCAAAAGGAATCTGATGATTCTTCTTCACAGATGGTACCCGAAGAAGAGAATGAATTCCAGTCTTGTGAACCTGAAATCGAGAGCACCCACAATGAAAAGACCATCACAACTAACAAAATATCTAAGAATCGTTCCTCAGCGAGATCCAAAGCTGCTCCTCTTCTTTTGGTTCTTGTAATTGCTTGTTTGACCTTCTCTGTTACTGATTCTCCCGTCCTTTCTCCTTCAATCTTTAAAGGCCAAACCTTCTCTAAGCTTGATGTCCCGGTTACGGTATCTGAATTTGCAAGAGCAAAGTTTGTTGAGATGACTCATGATTTCAGGCTCTGGTCAGTAAGATCCATGTCTTATTTGTCCAATCTGATTTCCATTCCAATAGAGGAAGAAATAGGCTCAATCCATTTCATTAACTTAACATCCTCAGACGAGGAACTCTTTATTGATGGGTACCAAGAGGCAGAATTTAGTTACAAGGGAGTAGACAAACAGCAAGATCATACTGGGGCAGAGTCTGTAATGGAGGGAGAAGTCGAGGAGGTTATGAAGGAGGAGGAACAAAGTCGTGTGGAATTTGAAACAGAGGAAAATATTGCAGAAGACGGTCAGGTAGTATCCGAAGAACAATCTCAACTGATACCGCATGCTCCAGAAGATACACCAGAAAATACAGAGAAAGAGGAAATGGAATGCCAAAACGATGTAGAAGTTAACATGGGGATTGAGGAAAACTCGTCTGTGCTTCCACAAGCTCCAGAGTTAAAACCTGAAACTCCTAAACAGGAGGAATTCCAGAGCCAGAACAACATTGATATCCTCCCCACCAACATCGAACCCACGATCAACAGCTTGGAACTGGATGAAAGCTCTATGGGCTTGGAAACAGGAGATTCTACATTTCCTCGATCTGAATACAAGTTCCCAGTAGGAAATGTATTGGGAATCTCTTCAGTTGTTCTCACTCTGGCTGCAGCTACAGCTTTTCTCTTCCTCAATCGAAGAAAGGCACCCACCCCAGAGGTTGTTCCAGCTAAACAGTTGCCGATGAAGAAGTTCATCTCCAGCTCAGTATCAGCTAGTAGCGACCATCCTCCCCATGGGAGGTCATATTCTCGGAATCGGCCAACAGAAGTTGAGATGGTTGGGGAGTCAGGCCCATCAGAGATGAGTAGCAGTTTTCAAAAGAGTTCATCTTGCAGCAGCAGCAAAAGGAAGCAGTTGGAGAAAGCTAATGAAGCCCAAAGCCAAGAAAGAAGACTAAGGAGAGAATCTTTGGCGTCTTCATCGGATTACTCTGCCGGATCCCTTTCTTATGGAAGCTTCACAACGTATGAGAAAATCACCAACAAACATGTAAGTGTGTTGCTGCTCTTCTATCTATTATTTGGGGCACTGATGAATTTTCTTTTTTAACTTCCATTGTTTACTTACTTGAGAGATGTCTGTGTGTGAAGGGTCATGGAGATGAAGAAATAGTGACTCCAGTGAGGCGTTCAAGCAGAATTAGGAAGCAGATAACTTCTCCATGAAAAGCAGAATTAGGGAAGCAGGATTTTTTTTTTAATGTTCTTGTCTGTTTCGTTTCATTGCTCTTTCTTCTGCCTCTGTCTCTCCTCGTGCCAAGATATGTTTGGAACGTGGATGCTACTAACACCACAACGTGTTGTCGTGGGGTGGGTTTGGTTTCTTCAATTGGTTGTAGGTTGTGACTCTATGTCTTAACAACCGATTGATTGTAATTTGAATCCTTAAATGGAATGACTTCTAATTATTTCGGCTATTTCTTCACTATCTTTATTAGTAGTATCTATGGAAAATTAGTAGAGGCAAAAGAAATAATGCAAGGGATTGTGCGAATGGTGTTGTGAGCATCAAATCCGATTTCCAGTCATATCCTACAATATGACTGGATATCCTACAGTCATATCCAGTCATATCCTACAATCAAATTAGTAGTATTAAGAACCTCTTTTATGAATAATAATGTAAGTACAGGAGATGTTCCTGATGTGTAATTGGATCACGCTGTAACATCATGAGAAATTCTGTGATCTAGTTCAACACATTTGGATGATCTTTCAATAAGAAAAAAAGTTCAATACATTTGAGATATGACTTAATTATGAAAGATAAATATTGGTCTCCGCATTATAAGGGTGTCAATGCACTTTGGATTGGACCCTGTTCAGTCCAAAAGCAATTTGGATGGATTGGATGGATAGTCCAAAATATTTATCAGATTGGATTGGACCTGGTCCATCTGTAATAAATTTATATGGATTGAGTTGGATTAAGCCAATATCTGGTCTATTGATATAAGATAAGAATATATGTGTCAATGGATTGGGTTTGAGTTGAAACCAATCTAAATCAAAATGAATTTAAACAGATTGGACGGTCCAGACATTGAATTGGACTGGCCCAAATTGGTCTAGAGCATTCATTGGATTGGATTAGACCTGGTCCATTTATGATGGATTCACAGTGAACTGGATTTGTCCAATTGACACCCCTACCACGTATTTTGGGAGAGAGGTTTTGGTTTTGGGGTGGTGGTAGTAGTAGTGGTAGGTTTGGGATTCACGAGACCGTCCTCACAGTTCCTTGCAATTGTGCACTGGAAAGATATTCCCAATACATGGCTGGAAAAGGCTGTGAGGAGAATTTTGTGAGAACCAAATCTGAATTCGATGGGAGATCTGAGATCAGATTTGGTCCTCGCAGAGCAGTCCTCGTACTGTAACTTTCCATAGCCATATATTCCCAATGCACAGCTGCAACGGATTGTGAGGACAGAATCCTTTGAGGATCAAGTTTGATTTTGATGACTTGTAGATTGTAGTGCAACTCTTGTGAATTGTCATACTTGTCGTGGGAGATGTTCACAATTCACGGAGGGATAGGCTGGCTGTGGGGAAGCCCATCCCATCTCCCATGTACTCTTGGGCTCAGTTTGAAAGGAATATAAATACAAATATATACAGTACAAATACATACAAAATACAAGGTTTTGCTCTTTACATAATTTTATTTTATTTGTACTCCTTCCAAAAATCGAACATTAAGTTCAGATAGGCTCCCCACAGAGCGCGTCCCACAGGCCATCCCCCCTCAACACATCTCCCGTGCTTGTCACGGGAACATCTCCCGTCTTCCGTCTGCCCTCAAGTTCTCCCACTACACCGACCTTATTCATTAACATCACTTCATGCATGAGAGAGACTGGAATAGAAACACTTTTTTATTTATGTTCGATAGCTCTTCCTTTTTTTCTCTCTTGAACATGGTGGGAAGAGCGTTACAAACATTTTGCTTTCTTCGTCCTTGGCTGCGAGAAATATTCATAAAATAATAATAAAATAATAAATAGATTAATACAAAAATTGAATTTTTTTAGTTGATTCCGATTTCAACTCCCAATAAACCAAATAGTAACAATCAGAATCCGATTTTGGTTCCTAATTGAACCAAACAGGCGTAAAAAATAGGTAAATCCCAATTCTGGTCATGTCCACGAACCAAATGGACCCTTAGTTACCTTTCGTTCCTTCCTCTATGGGTGGAAAGGGAATTCATAATTGTGAATCCCTGCCTTTTCATGCTCTCTGTGCAAGGTTTCAAGACAACGAATATGTTTGGAAAGAATCCTTTAGGTTGTGTTTGGTTGCAGTGCAATTTTATTTGCTCTAGTACAAAAGCATGGGAGTGCAAAAGAAAAAAATGCAAATTCTCATTTAAATTTATTTTGAGATTTACTATACTCTGCTTCATGTCTTAATTTACTTCATTTGTACTGCAATCAAACAAAATAAGTTGAAATTGGAAACAAAAATAGGTCAGAATTTACGTTCAAATCATTTGAACTACCATAATTTTGCATCAGTGCAAATTTATTTGCATTGCAACCAAACTGAACCAATTTTCCAACAGAAATTGCACCAGTATTGTTATTTGGGGTTTTTACTGTTTAGTCCATCCCCAGGAATCTTAACTCCACCATACAAGTAGGATGAATCCTGACCATAGATCGATGCCAAATCCATGGGCAAGATGTGATTTATAGGGGGGCTACTATAAGTTTAACATATAGAAGGTCAGGTGTATACCGTCTTACATTTAACATAAGTTTATTATTTTCAACACTCTTGGCCTCTCTTGCCCCCAATGGACAACTAAAATAATCTCTGTACCAAATCACACATCTACATATAACATACCCTCTTATCCTCTATGGTGCATCCATTCATTCTTTGGGTTAAAGCCAATACCATCTAGATTGAAAGGATTTAACATGGGATTGCAGATAGCATAAAATGAGACAATTCTTTTACAACGTGCTACCTTCCCTGGTACATAAACCAATGATCCGAAGTGCAGAATCTGCAGATTGAGGAATTCCATGTATTGTGTTAATATCCTTTCTGCCCGTCCTTAGGCTCAGTTTGGAAGGAGTATAAATACAAATATGTAGAGTGCAAAACCTTAAACTTTGTATTATTGTGTATGTATTTATACTGTACATATTTGCATTTATACTCCTTCCAAGCCGAGTCTTAGGACCTATCTTTTCGAAAAGAACGGTTCCTAACCGTTTTCCATGATGCCGAGATGGACCAAAGAGAAGATTCCATGTTAAATCGCAACAAGGCTGTGTACATGATAGAGGCACTACGGTGAGGGCATGCCATCACAGTCCGGATGATAATTTCAAGTTAATGCGGAGTTTTTTTTTTTTTTTCACTGCCTCTTCTGTGTCAACATCTAGCTACTGCAACCACATATCATACAAAATGCTGTACAACTAATTCACAGATATGTGAAACCTTCCTCGTGTAATTACATCTAAATTCTGACCACGATTAACTACGCCATTGTTCTCTTAAGGACCCCTCAACGTTTACTGGCAGTAAGCTTCTACTTTTAGTACTTGCCCTGCACAAGCTCAGGAGGAAATCCGTAAATATGTGCTCGTATTCTGGCATTTTTCCATACCCTGAGATGATTTCGGAATACCAGTGTAAGCTTCAAAACTCACTTTCAAACCATGACAAAATTAAATAATGCACAAAAAGACAGAAATATCTGGAAATTTTCACGTACATGAAACTGATATAATGGGTACCATTCCTAACTATTTGTTAAAAATTACAGCTTACCAAAGATTAATAATGGGTTGTGTATTATATCATTGATTGGTCTTTCCCAGTGAGAGATGTTCTCAATGTCTGGAGCTATTTCTGATCTGTAACATCTTCAAAAACAGCTGTTACAGATCAGAAATATCTCCAGACATGTTATTTTTGGGAAAAACAAGGAAAAGCTTCTCACGTTATGGCGTTATGCCAGTAGCTTCATCAAACTCAAAGGTTGACACCAGCAACTGTTTCCACAGACCATGTATTGTTAACAGGAAAGAAAGATGAGACACTTTCACGTGATCAGAAACTCCTTTTTCATTTTCTTTTATTGGTAATTAAGGAAACAATGTGCTGTATGGGAGGATGAAAGAGAGAAAGAGCAAGTACAAATCCTATATCTAAGATCAGAAAATAAAAACCCAGGCGGCAAGGCACCCCAGGAAGGTTCGTTTATACAAAATGTGCATGCTCAACATGCCAAGGGTCACATAACAATAAAGGGTATGCTGAAAGTTATGAAAGGCAAGCAAATATTCTTGACAACTAGGGGCCCGTTTGGCATGTCTTTCTGCGTGGTCTTTCGGCTGTTTACAAGCCGGGAAGACCAATTTTCGGTCTATTCCTGTTTGGCTCGCGGAAGACCTAGCTGCCAAAAGACGGAGCGCCGAAAAGACGTGAGAAGCCCATTTTGGGCTGCATCTTTCGAGTTTTATTCTCGCACAGGAAGACAAAAAGCTGCACAGAAAGACGTGCATCTGCCAAACGTGCTTCGGGCTGCTCATATCTTCATGCAAAAGCTCAATGCATATTTTGCATGTCAGAGCTACCAGAAGATCTTCCCAAGAAGACGCGCCAAACAGGCCCTAGATAAACTGTTTTTTAGCATTTCTCCAAAGGAGGTTTTATTTTCATATAAAAATTAAAACACAAAAAAAAAAAAAAACCACAAGCACCAATTCTCTGTCTCCAACAATATATTGATAGGTAGACAAGAAAGGTTTTGCAACTTCCACGTACCAGGGAAATAGTTGATATCAATGACATAAAAGGAGTCTCTAGTACCATGCTCCCGGATTATATCTATGTTGAATAAATGGAGGCCCTACACATTAAACCAAATCCAGGCATGAACATAATGTAAGCCAGAACCAGAAGAGTACTGTGAAGCCAATAAAAAGAGAATAATAGAAGCTACCAGGCGGTGACGGAGCTCCCTTGCTAGCCTCTCAAGTAAAAGTTGTGGTGGAAGTTCTGTTAGAAGAATAGAGTTAACAACTTTTCCATGGTAGGTAGATGAAATGTCAAGAATACTTCTTGAATATTAAAGGTTTGTTCAGAAGCAGCTTTTGTCATCTCAAGCCAATTTCATATTGATGCTTGATTCAGTTAAAGTCTCAAGGGTTTAATTGACCCTTATCTGAAGCAATCCTGAATAAATGATGTATTATAAAGAAGCCAGAAAGTCGCCAAACAGGACCCAATATTACAACCCCAACTTCTTAAAAAGTAGAAACTTGGAAATATTCTATTATTCTGTCTGACCAAACACAATCCTAACTCATCAAGAGCCTTATTCCAATGATTTGGGTCAGCACACAATTAATACAAATCCTGCTTTCCCATTCCACTGTAGTTGTGAATCAATGCCCTAGCATCATGAGCTTCAAACCAATGTTATAAAAACTGACCCAGAGGCTGATCTGCTTTTGACCATCCAGGTCGAAAGGGTCAGACCATTCCACATCAGCACTATATTTTATTAATAAACAGTGTAAAATTATGTTTTACATATAATATATATTATTTTATATTTAATTTATGTTTTTTAATTCAGTTTTTAATTTTTTTATTTATAAAAAATATTAAAAATTGCAATTTGAGGCCAAAAAAGTTTTTTTTTTGGTGAAAAATAGCGGGGCTTAGGAGGCATAGATCTCAAAATGTCAGTGATTTAAAAGGCATGCCTCACTTAGGCAAGGCACATTTTGAGGTATGTGTCCCAAGCCCTAACATGGATTTGTTTGGGCTTTGCCTAAAGGGGCTTGGTACAAAGAAGGCTCGTAGAATAAAAAAATGCATTAATGCAAAATGTTTTACATAGCTATTTTAAGTAATGCAATTGATGAGAAAAAAAAAAAAAAAAAAGAAATTCTGGGTTTTACATGCCTGAAAATGTTTTATATGTTTGATTTTATTTTTAAATTTTCATTTGAATACGTTTTACATGTTATGTTTATGTATTTTAATTTTAGATAACAAGTTTTTAAAATATTTATTTTGAAATTAAAGTTCATATTTTTATTTATATTAAGATTAGTATTTTTCAATTTTTTTGCATTTTTTTGAATTTTTTGGCATTTTTTGAATTTTTTGACTTTTTGAAAAATTTTGCCATTTTTTGCATTTTTGCACCTTGATTCTAAAAGGTGCACATCTCACCTTGCACCTTGGGCACAAATTGCCCCTTGCACTTTTTTTTTTTGCACCTTGTGCTTTTAAAACACTGCGATAAGTTACCCAAAATAAAAAATAAAGATCACCTCAATTGGACATCAGAGTGCAAAGTTATGGCCCCCGAAAGTCTGCACATACATTGAGTGTGCACCCACAATCCAGTGACTGGGTCAAATGGGTCAACAGTTGAACCACCCGGGTCAGACAGTTTTTGATCAAGTCAACGTTTTTGACAATGGTGGATTTCAACAGAACTGGACCTGGAATCAAGGCCAGGTGACGGTTCGGACGGTTAAACCAGTTGGGTCAACAGCAGGTTGAAAACACTGCTTCAAACAACAATTCTAGGAGCCTGACCTAAAAATCCTGAACCTGCTGTAATCAAATACACCCTAGGCACAATGCTATCCAGAAAACAGAAACACAACACCATCCAACAAACAGAAAATAGAAACACAACACCATCAAGCAAACAGTAACACATGAATAGATCAAAAGGAATAAATAATCTCACCAGCAACACCTGGGTCGAGATTGGCATTGTCTGCAGAAGCTGCAGCACAAGAAACCCTTGGGAATTGGAACACGCCAGCATTATGCAGAAGTTCACATTTATTGACATCAGGTAGTGAGAAACGACGAACAACCTTTATAGTTTCACCAACAATATAAACCTTGAACAGTACACCTCCTATAACCAGACAAGTAAAAGACAGCTCCTGTATTATTAATGAAGTTACAACTGCAAGAAGAATGTAAGACCATCATGATAATTAACATACCATGGTTAACAAACTCTTGCAGAACCAATGGGGGTTCAAGTTTTGAGAGGGAGAATTGATCGTAAGCAAGAGACAGTTCATGTGACTTTGCACTTCCATCCACAACTAATGGTTTTGCAACTGCAACAGTAATCAACCAAAACAGAAACAAACCATCATGATAATTAGCATACCATGGTTAACAAACCCTTACAGAACCAATGGGGGTTCAAGTTTTGAGAGCGAGAATTGATCATAAGCAAGAGACAGTTCATGTGACTTTGCACTTCCATCCACAACTAATGGTTTTGCAACTGCAACAGTAATCTACCAAAACAGAAACAAATAATATTCTCGTAATTAAGAACTGACATAAAATATAAGCAGATAACAATCCCATCAACAACAAAACGTATACCCATAAATTAAGCTAATCAGCTCTTGCAATAAAATAATGTACACAAGTTTTCTAGTGGAAAAGCTAGTATTGAAACATAAGACAACGTTACATGTTACACAATGATCTGAGTAAATGCAGTTGCAATACAAGCTTACCTAGGGGTAGCATAAGCCCAGCTTTAGAAACTGCATCAGGGATTGATGCTGGATCCTTCTTAATAACTAATTGCCTTGGAACACCAACTTTTCCTACAACAATAGTATATAATCAATATAAGGAGTACTTGTATGCATATATTAGAGATTCAGAAATGTAGCTGCAAAACATGTCAACCTACGCATTCAAGCACACAAATTTTAGTGTTACCTCAATAAAATTATTAGTCCCTCCAAAACAAGTCTCACTGTATAGGAAAATGGCACAGGAATTACCATAGCAGTCAGACAAGTTAATATCTGCAACATCCTTGAGCATGGACTGGCGGTTGTGTACATGTTGTATGGCATCGGGAGGATCGAGAACTGTAACTTCAGGATGCTTTTGTCTATAATCCTTTAAAAAGAAAAAAAGTAAGTGTAAGGAAATTTCATGTTTCATGGAATATTTTGTTGCTTAAATTAATATGTATTATAACACACATACATATGTGTGAAATTTGAGCTACCATATCAAACGAACTGATTGTGGGATAAGAATTAAGAAAATCAAGAAATGATATCTAGAATTCAGTTTAGAGGAGAATTATTGATAACTCTGTATTTTGATGCCTTAAGAGCATCATTTTAGGGGTATTTTAGACCTTAGACGGACTAATCTGTACCCTTTTTCCAGTTAAATTCAATGTTGTGACCTCTGAGGGTCCTTGTGCAAATTCTGAGTAAAAACTGGGAAATTTACAGAGTTTTCTGCAGATTTTGGGAAACTTGTGAGAATTCTAGCTGAGAGAGGGGGTGTTTCTGTAAAAAACTAAGCACAAGAGGGCGCCTCCTATCTGCTAAACCCAGAAAGGCACCCCTCCTACTATATTAGCATACTCCCCTCTCCTTAGCAAACCCTAGGGCGCCTCCCCACTCATTCTTTTCAACTCTAACAAACCCTAGCCGCTTCTAACTACTAAATCTTCACCTTCTTCTCCTCCCTAACATCTAATCTCAACCATCCAAGCCTTAGCAGCCCCTCATACCCTTAGATCTCTCCCTAGACAGCATCCTAGCCTTTACACTTCACTCCTTAAATCTCAACCAATCACCTTAGGGCGCTACATCACACCAACCAATCACATTTCTCCAGCTCTAGGCGCCCAAATCTGCTCCCTCCATTCTGGGTGCCCAAATCACAGCCCTACATAATATTGGGCGCCCTCTCCTCCTCTTCTCAGCCTTAGGATCACCTTAGAACAATCCTAACCCTCCATTCTCAACCCTAGGGCGCTCATATTTCTGCAAAAACCCAACTACCGCCCCTCTCTTTCTCTCTAATCCCAAACCTATCCTTCCTTCTCTATAAAAAGGACCCAAAGGGTCCTGAGAAGGGGTTGGATTCTGCCCCCAAGTAAGACAGAAGGCTGTTCTTGAGAAGTTCAAGGGTAGAGGAAGAGGAGAACGCACGAGCAAGAGGAGGGGTTCTTGCTTGCAATTCGCCTAGCCACTATTGCCACCTCTGGATCCGGATCCCAACCAGTTTCCCATAGTTTTAGATTTACTTTTTACGCGTGTTTTTATTTTCCGATCTTTAATTTTCAATTTTTATTTTATTTCTATAATTTATTTTTATCAAATTTAATTTTTGTCTTCCTTTCTGTAAATCTAAAATTCGGCCAAGTAAGACGAAAGGCCCAGCTTGAGGAGTTTGAGGGGTCAAAGGATAGATCCGGAGACTGCTACCTCTGACCGAGTTACGGATTTTTTATTTAGTTTTTTTATTTCTGTTATTTATTTATTTTTCTGCAATTTTTACTTTCAACATTGTTAGAATTTTATTTTAATGGATTCCAGTTCAGTTAATTAAATTTTGTGTTTCTGCAATCTCAAATCTTGTTATTTTGTCCGGATTGAAGTACGTAACAATTTTTCCCTCACTTCCATGTGGATACGACCCCTTTCTCACCACTAAATGTGTTTTGTAGTTATTTTGGGAATTGGAAAATTTATAAACATTGAAACTGGTGTTCCGAAGTGGTTAACACGCTTCCGGACACACCAATTATCTTTCTAGCAAAGAGAATCAGCTTAGCATATTTATCCTATTGAGTGAGGTCTTGCTTAAAAGAATTGACAACATGATGTCCACCAAGATGACCACCTAATGATGTACAAGACTGATCACACAATGTCAATAAGTAATTTCTTAGTTATGACACATTCACCATGGTACTTTTTAAGGTTAATATTTTCTAGGATGACAATTTGGATCTTAAATACCCTATTTCCTTTTTAAAAAATGGCAAGAAATAAAACCATCCATGCAAACAAAGATATTTCTTAGATCTCATTTCTTCTCTTTTTTTTTCATAAGTTGCATAATAGATCATGCTTAAACTGCTTTTGACACATTGAACAGGGAAGATCTAGTTTTCACAAGTTATGATTTTTTTTTGAGAAAAGGGTAGCCTTCATTCAAAAAAGAGAAAAAAAAAAGAAAAGCTTTCAAAAGTTATGATAGCTACAAGCATAGAAATATTGATAGTTTATAATTTAGAGTTTCCAGGAAAGTACATTTCTTTTCACAGAAAAAGTTTTTAAGTAAAAGAAAGGGGGAAGAAGAAATATGATAACCAATCATGAAACGCCAAGTTTGCCAAAAAACAAATATGATAACCAATCATGAAATGCCAAGTTTGCCAAAAAACAAATATGATAACCAATCATGAAACACCAAGTTTGCCACAAAAACAAAATAACAAGTTTACGGATTCATCCAAGATATGATCATTCTAATCATCAATGGAGTTTAGCATACAACATTTTACATATTCATTCAAGATATGTTACATATGTACTTCAGCACAGAGCTTTTTATTGAGCCTTCATCTAGAAATACAACAAATAAATCTTTAGGAGTTCCACCAACAAAATGGATGGCAAGGTGAAGTGAAAAGTTCATGTGGAGTGTTAGCCATAAATCTTGATATCATATAGCACAAAAGTTACATGTAATACATATCACAATATTTATTAGCACAATATCATGTGGAAAAAGTGCAATGTGAAGTGTCAGGCTCAAATTTTGATAGCATACAGAACGAAAAGTTATATGTAATGCATACCACAATTTTATTAGCACAATATCATGTGGATGCATCTAAAATACACAACCAACTTAAAAAAAAAAAAATCATTAAGCAAAATCTTCAAAAGCCACATAAAGGTTAAATATACAAAACACTAAAAAGGAAATACATATCACAATATTTATTAGCACAATATCATGTGGAAAAAGTGCAATGTGAAGTGTCAGGCTCAAATTTTGATAGCATACAGAACGAAAAGTTATATGTAATGCATACCACAATTTTATTAGCACAATATCATGTGGATGCATCTAAAATACACAACCAACTTAAAAAAAAAATCATTAAGCAAAATCTTCAAAAGCCACATAAAGGTTAAATATACAAAACACTAAAAAGGAAATACATATCACAATATTTATTAGCACAATATCATGTGGAAAAAGTGCAATGTGAAGTGTCAGGCTCAAATTTTGATAGCATACAGAACGAAAAGTTATATGTAATGCATACCACAATTTTATTAGCACAATATCATGTGGATGCATCTAAAATACACAACCAACTTAAAAAAAAAAAAAATCATTAAGCAAAATCTTCAAAAGCCACATAAAGGTTAAATATACAAAACACTAAAAAGGAAATAACATAGCAAAGAAATGAGACGAGAACACCAATGGATGAGAATTTATGTTATAAGAATCTGATGTGGGTATGGTCCATTACATGGTTTTCAAAACCGGACTGGACCAGACGGTCAGACCAGAAAAACCGGGAACCAGTCAGGTGATCGGTTCCATTTTACCCCAGAACCATTATTTTGCCAAAAACCACTGATTTGGTCAGCAAACCGCTAACTCGGGCGGTCGACCAACGATTTTGGCCTTTTTATTTTTTTTTATTTTTTAATTTTTTGTCAGAATGGGCCATTCATTTGGTTCGAACGATCAGACCATTTGACCCAGGAACCAGATCCCTGACCGGTTTGTTGTCTTATTCGATTTTAAAAACCTTGGTCCATTACAATATATCCTAGCAACATAGACCAATAACATATATCATTTATATTGAGTCACAACATTATTCATATCAAGTGAAAACCAGTCAACCTCTCACCAACTAAGCTGCATCTACCTTAGTTAAACAAACTTAGGAAATAATGCCCAAAATATAGCCATAGAGATATTAACAAAAACACTGACACTAACTTTAGGAATTTGAGTTATGCACTCAAACGATTGATCAAAAAATTTATGCACTCAAACCCCAACTATTTGGGGTAACTATATCAAGAATCTTACCATTTATCATAAATAAATAAATAAATAATACTATATCAAGAGCCTTATCCTTATTCCTTAGTAATTTTGGTGTTCCCTTCCCTTTCTCATGAACTTTATATTCAACAAGTTCCATCTCATTGTGCAGTTATTTGTCTTTTTTGCACATGGTAGAACCATCATGTACATTTATTAGATATAAATAATTCATAAACCTAGATGTGGTCAATGGAATGGATATTGAATATATCAAAGTTTTAACTCTACGTGGAATGTTGTGTACGAGTTCATAATGCATGTTTGGCATGTTCCCAAATAGAAAGATACATTGACAATTTTCAAAACAAATGGTTGTTCAACAAATATTTCATACACCTAACTTATATTTTATCATGTTGGCACATATTGGGATAAAATGAAGGTTGAGTCATGTAACTATCAATATTGTGAATGTTGTGATCCATGAAACTTTGCCAGCATAACAAACTGATAGCTTAATAACAAGAAAAAGAGTAGGTCTCACACAACAACTCACCTTTTAATAAGTTATTGATGTCAAGGCAAATTAAACCAACACAAAGATGTTAGTATGTTATAGTGTTTTAAAAGGCGTGGGAGGCGTACTCTTGGAGACGCGCTTCCAGGTGAGGCGCTTCCAAAATGCCCTGAGGCGTATGCCAGAGGCGCTGACACCTCTGAGGCGTACGCCTCAGGTGCAAGAGGCGTATGCCTCAGGTGCAAAAGGCGTATGCCTCTTGCACTTTTTTCATGAGGCGTGATAAAAGCGTACGCCTCATGCACATCTGATATAAAAAGACAGAAAAAAAAAGGAAAGGAAAAGAAAGGGAAGGGAAAGAAAAAGAATGAGAAGAAAAAAGAGAAAAGAAAAGGAAAAGAAAGGAAAGGGAAGGGAAGAAAAAATAAAAATTTTTATTAATATAAAAACCCCCCTTTCAACTAATGTTATGCATCTTTATTCTTCTTAATATAAAAGATTTTTATTAAAAATAAAGAAAAAATGAGATCCCCCTTCCTCTTCATCCTCCTCCTAACCCCCCTCCTCCTCTTAAGGAGGCTTACGCCTCCTTGTGTTCAGGAGGCTTACGCCTCTTGCGTTTTGAACTACGCCTCACGCCTCTACGTAGTGGAACACCTCGTGTCACGCCTTCGCGTTTTAAAACATTGGTATGTTACTAAGGTCTAAAAGCTATTCCTTGCAATGTTTTAAAACATGGAAGTATGACACAGGCATTCTACTACCTAAAGGCATGAGGTGTAGTTCAGAAAGAAAGAGGTGTAAGCCTCTCGAGCACAAGGAGGAGTAAGCCAAGTCAAGAAGAGGAGGGGGAGTTCTTGTTTTTCTTGTTTTTTGATGAAATATGTTTTGTATTAAAAGGAATGAGGATGCATAACACTAGTTGAAAAGGGGCTCTTATCAAAGTGAAGGCAAGCAAACAAAGGAAGCTTACGGAGCCTGGAACCAAAAAAAGTTGGGGGTCTGGGTTCACCCCCTCCCCTAGCCAAGGGGGTCCCTTCCTCCCTTTGCTTCCCTTCCCTTCCCTTCCCTTTTCTTTTCCTTTCCTTATCTTTTCTTTCTGTGTGAGACATGCATGAGGCACAGCAACATACACCTCTGGTATGCATCATGGAAAAGGTGTTTGAGGCATACACTTATAAGCATAAATGCTGCAAGCATGATTCCTTGTTGAGTGAACATCCTCCTAAAATATGTCTTTCAAGCTTTGTTTGTTTGAATTTCAATTTCATTTGCACTAGTACAAGTTGCATGGGAGTGAAAAAGAGAAAATTGTAAATTTTGGTTCATTTGTGCTGGGTTTTACTTTATTCTGTTTCAGGTCTTACATTACTTTACCTGCACTGCAAATAAAGAAACCAAAGTAAAACCTATAATAAAGTTAAACTAAAACTTGGACTTGACTAATTTGCACTCCCATGCTTTTGCACAAGTGAAAATGAAATTACACCGCAAACAAACAAGTCCTCATGGGAACTTCGTGAATGTTAAGACAATGCATTTGGAGTGCTTCCAATAAAATAAATGCATTGGGGCCTCACAAGTCACAAAAGCAATGCCCATAAATCAAGACCTAAATGTGGCTGTGAACTCAAAAAAATTGCAGAAGCACAAGATGTTTCTAATTCATATGGTTATAATCTTGAAAGTTGAAGGACCTAATGGTGGTCCTTGACCTTGCTATTTAGTAAAATCATGCAGAAACGTCAAGCATAATATTGAAAAAAATAAAGGAGATTAACCTAGCCCACATCATAACATTTACTGCTATAACTCTATGTAGTATTGACTACCACCAAAAGCTTGGATATTAGACACGTGTCAACATATCCAATAATCTTGTTAAACCATAAAATATTGAAATGGGGGGAAGCAATTTACAAACCTCTGCTTCCAAGGCTTAGTGCAAAAAGAACAACCCTGGAAATAGTAGACCCAAATATCGATTGAAATACGCAAGATCAACCAAACAACACCACATTCAGTGACACAAGCAAAGAAAATATGGTGCTCCAAACAACTGATTAAAGGATACCATATACTTTTTGCAGAGATTCTTAACACCTGAACAAGTCATCTAGGTTTGTAATTGAAGGAAAAATATCCTCACTTGTTGAAATTCTTAAGGCATCGACCTCAACTATCTGGTCATGATTCATGATTGAGGAAAGAGCAAGCACTCTGCAAATTATGTCAGACAGAAATGAGTTTTAAGCCTAAGGCATATAGTTGTTCAACCAGCCACTGTCAATTCATCTTATCCCGAGAATATATGGCATTACATAGTAACTTAAAACAACTAGAGAACCTAAAACACATGCAATCAACACTATGAAAATTAGTAGGCTGCATGGTATGAAACAAGTTCCATGGACAATATAGAAGAATAGGAAAGTTAAGGCACACTGACCTCAAGAATGTGGCGCCATTCCCTTCCGGATAACTAAAAAAGAAAGGAAACATAAGTTTCATCAGGAATTAATGGAATCTGCATTGAGTAATGTTTGCCACCAAAAAGAAGACAAAAATAACTGATAATGTAGTGTGTTACTTATCAAATTATGAGGATAAGTAAAATTACGATCTGAATATGATTTCACAGGTCATAACCATATGCAATATCAAAAAGAGACAGTGGAGACACAGAAAAGCAAAAGTTCATATATCCAACTCTTGACCACAAGGAGAGATCAAAGAAAATAAAAAGATCCCTCCCTATTCACTGACCTTATGTAAAACAACGTCGAAAGGACCTTGATCGGAAAGTGACCTGTTTTGGTCAATTGCAACAAAGAATATCCCCTTATTCCTACACCATTAAAGCATATCTGTAATTAAGTAATTATTAATATGAGGATTAAAGCCAAAAAAACCAAACAGAGCAAAAAGTGAAACAGTTTGAGGGTCTGAAATTCCCCAACAGAATGAGATATCAATGCATGAAAGACAAAATAAAGTAAGAGATCTTATCTCCAACAAAATGGCTACCTCTGCAAGCAACTCACAGAATTAATTAAATCCAGAGTTACTAAAAATTTCAGGGTAAAGAACACTTGAGAGGACATCAAACCAGCAAACACCGTATAGAGTATTAAAGCATATGATGGTTTGAAAATTGAAATGACTAAAATAGCAACTCAAAAGTAGTCAAAACATGCCATACAACGTATGGCAAAGATGAACTTACATTGATAGTGACCAGTAGAAAAGGTCCAAATTATTTTGTACCTAAGCTTAGTTTGGATGTCTATCCTAGCAGGACTATATACAGAAATAATAACATGTAGTAGGGAGAACTAAAGGTAGGAGCATTTCTTTGCAATAGTAAAATCTTTGGCTCAACTACCAAAAAATAGTAAAGCCTTTGGCTGTCAAATGTGAGGATGCAAGTTCGAGTCTGAGTGTGTGGTCACTTCATGCAGAAAATGCTGGAAGTTAGGTCAACACCATGTCCACCTCTCCCAGGATCCCAGATAGCAGGGACCAGAATTGGGCAATGGCATATCTAGGAAGAAGTAAAGCTTTTTTTTATCAAACCGTCAGAAAATAAACAGTACCAACCACAGGTAAATCCGTGATTCCTAGTAACTGCAAATGGTGAGAAATATAGGATACAAAAAAATATCTATCCGGTTATCTATGTGCAAATACAAACATAAATAAACTATATTAATATTAACAAATATGAAATAATTCATTTTTCCTAGAAAACTAGGGAAGTGTGAAGTCAAACGAGCATCAGTTTCAAGCTGAGCCGCCATTTATAGATCTCACTTATATGAAATCAGAGAAAATCCAGGGAGCATCAAATTAACAATAAATCAAGGACATATAAACCCCTTGCTTAGTTGAAAAGTTGGGCAAGTGCTGAAACTTTAATAATTTTAAATCATGGCACAGAAGCTTCAAGAATTGACTTTGAAAGCTGCTGGAATATGTGGAGGAATATTCTGAATCGTATTCGAGATAACAAGAACGGCGACTAAGATTCTGAGAAGATAAGTTCAAACGAATGATAAAAAATTGATTAACAAATGAAATCCCCAAAGATAAAATCAATTTAACAAATATTTGTATTTTTTCAAGAGAAATCTACGGCTGGATTCATGATATTATGCAGAATAGAGATCGAGCGTTTCAAGATAAATAAATAACCTAACAGCTAAAACCACTACAAAACCTCGCCACCAACATTGAAAGAGACAAATGGCTCACAGAGCAAAAGAAAGCCATAAAATTGAAGGGACGTTATTTCTCGGACATGAATCACCAAACCAAGATAATGATGGGAACGACATATAAATAGTTAAATACAGCAGATCTAGCAGGAAAATTTATCTCTTAGCTGCAAAATGACTGAATTTTCCGGTTTCCTTCAAACAAGTGCTTCCTCAAACAAGCACAGTATGAATTAATATACGAGAGAGAGAAATGATACCAGCAGTTACAGATAGAAGAGAGAGGGAATGGGGTGGGATGAAACAAATAGTAAAGAAAACGACCTAGAGATTGAGCTCTAAATGGTAAAATCAATCTATTACCTAGCCAATCCTTCAAGCTTTGGCCGCAAAAAGCTCTTCTTCTTCTTCGACGTTAAAGCATATCCAACGACGAGTTTCTGCGGTTGCGGAAAACCAGGACCGATGGAATACGTCTGTGAATTCCGCCCGTTATCCTCCTCTTCATTTGGATTGGAGATCTCTCCGTTAAACCTCATTCCCAACGCAAACAACTTCCTCACACAAAGAACCAAAAAAAAAGAAGGAATAGTGATCACAACGCTTCTCGCTTAGTCCCTTGACAACAAATTACAACAAAACCCTAATTCTATCGATTCCCTTAACGTGTTTCCTTAGTCCTTATCAGTTATCATTGCAGCCAAACGGTAAAGCCGAAAATTTTCGAAGAATAAAATGTTTGAGACACAGGGGTCCTCGAAACGAGGAACTGTAGATCGAGCTCTGTTCAGGAAAACCCAGAAACGCAAATCGGTAGGTTACGTTTGCTTTCGTTTTTTTCTCTTGGAGTTGATGTTTTCTACTCTCAGATTTGGCGGAAAAATTGTAGAAGAGCTTCGCTTAGCAGTAGAGAGCCGGAGAGGGACAGAGATAGAGCGAGAGAGGGTGCGAGGAGGCGAGGGGGGTTTGGTGGGAGGGTGGCAGCAAATAAATAGGTGCGGTAAAGGTCCACTGACAAATTTGATTCCAAAACGAACCTATTTTATGCCAGTTAATTACTAAATGGACCATTATATTATCGAATTACGGATATACCCCTCAGTAGGATCCTGCCTACGACCGTTATATTTTCGTTATTATTATTTTCTTTTTTTTTGGTAACAGAAATTTGACTTGATGAAGAGAAGAAAAGTCCTTCGGGGCAAACTCCTGGGCCCATTCCGGGCAAGCCTGGGTATACAAACCTGATTCCCTTCGGCATTTTGTAAGGCTATGAGTCACAAAGCGTTTGTTTGGCATCGATGTCATTGCTCCAGAAAATGGTGATATATTAGCATCACGTTAGAAAAAAATGGTGTTCTAGGAAACGTTAATATGTTTGGAACCATTTTTTCATAAAAAATGGTATTCCGAGCCATGTCTTAGAAATTGAGAAGGCATGGTTTAGAGTAATGTCGAATTCGATGTTTTCTCATATTGGAACTCGTTATTGCCAACGAGGACATGATGTGGCAGTGACTTGGATTTCCTATAATGGGTACCAGTGCTGAAAACAGATATGGAGCACTGTTACCAAACAGAATGTATTGTTGTTGCTCTAAAAAACATCGTACCTGACAGCAATGTTTTCAAACAAAAAAAAAGACAATTTTCTCAAAAAACTGTGCTTCCAACCCACACATCAGTAGTTGTATCTAAAGCATTGATGTCAAACATATACAAAGTTTGCAAACCTATTCACCAAAGAAAAGGAAACACTTCTATCTTTTACAATGTTTATAATATCCAAAACTAGGAAAGTTGCATCCTGCTTCAGCTTGAATGGGGGGAGTTCACTTTACAATTACCAAAAAGAGCACCCACCACTTTCTCATTGTGATCCCTAACAACAGCTCCAAAACCAGCAGATCATCAGACCATAAAACTACCATCAATGTTAATTTTAATAACACCAAAACCAGGGGAGAGCAAAAAGAAATCATTTTGTTTTAATTAAGAGTTGTGGAAGAAAGCCATCATCCTTGTTGGGAAGTCAATTTCCTCTCCTTTGCCATCCTCTCAAAAGACAATAGAGTGGAAGTTGGATCTATAGTTGAATTTTCAAAAATGAAAGCATTTTTATTTTTCCATATTGACCATAGGATAACAGAGGACACAGCCAAAAGCTCTTCATTTTTTTTTCCTTTTGATTTGAGCATTTTTCAATCCATCATCTAAATCACAAGCTAGAAGAAGGAAGTGGAACAAAACTTTCTATCCTTAAGTTTAGTACATTAGCAAACAGTGGCTTTAGCATGATCACAAAAAAGCAAAGTGTGAGCAATCTCTCTTTGGAGCATATAGGGAAAACATAAAAGTCCCCTACCTTTTCTTTAAGTTTTCTTTAACTGCCAGGGCATCCTAGCAACATTTCCGAAGGAAATTTTTTATTTTTGGGTCAATATTAATTGCCCAAAGAGTTTTCCAAGGTTCTGTTTCTCTCTCTTCTTTCCTCTTGAACACAACTGAATTTTTTATTTAATTTTTTCGCTACAAAGTAAGCTGATTTAACTGAAAAAAGACCATTTTCATTCAGGGTCTATATCAACTTATCTTGCCAGTTACTTGCAACTAAGGGGATGTTTAAGATATTTTCTGCAATTAGTTCACTGAAGTTATTCTAATAACCTCCTTGTTCCAAGCTCTTCCCAAAGGAGACATTAGGTCTTTAACTTCAATTAGATTTTTATTTAAAGGCCTAGGAGGCTAGGACCCTGAATTTTGAAACTTGGTATACCAAGAAGCCAAGGGTCCTCCTAGATTTTTATACTATCCCCTTTATTCACTGCCCAGAAGGCCCCACTTTTTATTACTTCCCTTATAGTTAGCATGCTCTACCATCCCCAAGAACTTCTTTTTCGGAGGTTATCATTTAGGCAGCGTTTGATAATGTTGAATAGACGTTTGGGTTCATGTCTTTAAAGTGGATCTGAATGCCACTTTCAGATCTAAAACGGTAAGAGGTCGCCCAACTACTTAACGTGGTCAGAGGCAATTCAGGGTTGATAAAATGTCTTAAATGCCCTCCTATCATTTCTCAAATGACAAAATTCGCTTCTTTTAACCCAAATCCAAGCCCCAATTCACTTCTCGAGTTAAAAGCTTCAAGTCTTCCTTCTCTGATGCCAGCAACTCTACCAGCGATGGTTTCCAAGTAAAAACGACACATTTTTTAGTTTCTTTTTGTCTTCCTTCTCCATTCCGACAACTCTACCAATGGTGGTTTCCATTTCTCACAATGTAAAAAAATAATGCATTTTACCAGCAATGATTTCCATTTCTCACTTTGTGAAGCTCTCCATTAATGGTGGACCTCAAGGAACACCTTCTCCCACCAAGACTCTCACCACCTGTAAACGTTAGAGAGCAATCATTCAAACCCCTTGCCTCCAGCTAGTCGCTTTTCCAAGGCACGAACTTCCTAGGGCTGAAGAAGCACGGCAAAGTATGCATCTCTATGTTGACACCTTTGGGAACTCTCACCTCATTTTTGTAAAACCGGCGACATCTACCGATGACATCGACAGTGGTTCCTTGTGGAAGATGCATCCACCAACCATTTGCTAGTTTGACTTGTTCAACCTCAATACATTAGATAGTTGGATGAACTCTTCCCTTTGGATTAAAATGATAAAATCCACCATTTTCAAATGTTGAAGGATTGATCTATCTCAAACAAGCTTACTTGTTTAGAGCCTATGAAAACAGAAAAGCATGTATACCTCTTTTTAGACTTCAAAGCTAAATAATAACTTTTATACTTTTAAGATTCCAGACTTCAACATTATCAAACGACATCTTAGAAAATTTTTGCCTTTTAAATATCTTGCATTTATAATTTTTGCCCATAGGCTCTCATTATCAGTGTAGTGTAGAGACTCCATGCTTGTTTTGCAAGGAGGGCAAGATTGAAGCAATAGGGATCCTTAAACCCTCTCCCCCATCTAATTTGTTTCTATAAGCGTTTGACCAGCTCACCCAATGGATTTTTTTATTTGACTTACCACTGTTCCACTAAAAGTTTCTTTGTACTTTTGAAAATAAATTATAGGTGGTTTTTGGAAGTAGAAAACAAGATATAATGTGTGAACGTATGACTGTTATAATTTATTTTATTAGAACCTCTTTGCTAGCTTGGGAGAGGAGAAGCTCCTACCAATTCTCAGTCTATATTTTATTAGATATAGGGATTTTTTTTTTTTACTTTCTAATGGCTATGTGGAGACCTAGACAAATGGAAGGATTTCCTACCCTCTTCATTCCTAGGGACCTTTCTATCAATTTTTGAGCTTAGGATGTAAATTTGAGCTAAAGAAAATCTTAGACTTGGCCAGATTTACTTGTTGCCTAGATGCTTGCTTGTAGCTATGGAGTGTCTAGAAGAACATGTCCTCCTTCTGAATTTGTCCTAGTGAAAGGATAGTTGTCATCTAAAAATAAATAAATGTGAGACCATTGGGCAATCTCTATTCAATTTTATGCCTATTGTTTTGAATTCACCAAATTTATCAAATTTGCAAATAAAACTTCTAAAATTATCAAGAAGAGATAAGGGGATAGAGGATCCCCTTGTCTCAAGCCCCTCTTTGGTCTTAGGGTTTCCCTTAGAGTCCCATTAATGAGGATCTTGTGTGTGAATATTAACACACACACACACACTCTATAACCCAATCAATCTAGCATTCCCCAAAACTTAACTTAGATATCACCTTTTTAAGGAAAATCCACTTTACCCTATCATAAGCCTTACTCATGTCCAATTTTAGAGCCATTAATTTCTTTTTTCCCTTGGTTTTCCTCATGATATCTACTACTTCATGAGCTATAAGAATATTGTACTGGATTTGTCTCCTCGAAGTGAAAGCACTTTGGTTTGAACTTATGATTTTGTTTAGCAAATGTTAGCCCTATTAGCAAGAATTTTTGCAATAACCTTATAAACATTATTACACAAGATAATGTGTTTATAGTAGTTTGGTGTTTCAAGGTTTCTGACTTTTGGGATAAGAGCTATGAAAGTTGAGTTTATATCCTTCGAGATATTTTTGGTCTGGAAGAACAATTTAACAATTCTATCTATTTCCTTTACTACAAGACTCTAGTATTTTTGAAAAAAAAAAGATTTCAAAAACATTTAGGGCCCAGGGATTTCCTTGGATTCATCTGAAACAAGGCATCCTTAATTTCCTCAATAGTAACCTCCATTTCTAAGAAAACTCTATCTTCTTCATCTAATCTTGCCCCTAAGTTTACCAAGCTTTCCTCCATGTCTCTAGGGTTAGAGCTCTTATAAATGTCTCCGGAATACTCATTGATGCAAGATTCCACATCCTCTATTTTATTCGTCCATTCCCCTTATTGATTTCTTATTTTTACTATTTTATTTCTAGTCCTCCTTTTCTAAGTTTAGCATGGAAATATTTTGTTTCTTTATCCCCATAGGCCAGCCAACTAATTCTTGACTTTTGGTGCCAAAATATTTCCTCTCTTCTTAGCAAATCATCTAATTCCTTCCTTAGTCTTTTAATGTTTTTCCCATTCCATTCCTCCTTTGTTTATTCAATTTTTATCTCTACTATCCTTTCATGAACATTACCAAAGATTTCTTTGTTCCACTTTTTCAGAGCCTTCTCTGCATTCTTGACTTTTTTTTTAACTTTGCTTGAATAGGTCCAAAAGCCTCATGGGTTGACCACATCTCTTCAAATCTGAATGGCCTTCTCTTCCATATTGTTGTTCTCTCAGTATAAAAAACAACAAAAAAATTTGTTGTTCTCTTAGTATTTATACATAAAGGCACATGGTCAGATTCCAAAGCATTAAAACTCTATATTCTACTTGATCAAACAAACCTACCCAATCCCTATTGCATAGGGCTCTATCTAGTTTAGCTCTGATTAACATTCCATTTACTATCT